ATGATCCTGAATATGCTAAGAAGTTGGCTGAAGAGACATGGGGCAAGCATAAGGATGTATGTGGAATTTTTTTCCCCAAGCGATGCACAAAAAATAAAAAAATAAAAAGGTTTAAATTACTTTCGTCTGCTTGTTGACCCATGAAAATGTTCATGTTGTAGGCTGAAAAAGCTGCTTTTGATGAGGCAGAAAAGAAGAGAGAGGAGGAGGTACTTTTCATTAATTCTCCTCTGTTGCATGATGTCTTGAGTACATTTGAATTCCATTTCTGTATAGGACTTCCTTTATACTGCATTATTTGAACAGTGATGATTTGATTATGAAGAGACAACTTATATCTCAAACTCCTGTCTGATTTTGTTTCAGGAAGCAAAGGATGACCCAGTCGATTCTGATGTAAGTTCCTGACTAAAATGTTGTTCTCAAAAGAGACTCTTTTTGCTCCACATTTTATCTGTGATATGTTCTTATTACGTGCACTTTCTTAATGGGAAAAACTTGTTCTTTTAGGCTGAGGAAGGCGATGATGATGATGCTGCTGATGAAGCAGATAGTGATGATACAGACGCCAAATCAGAAACAAAGGAAGATGTTACTGCCGCAGCTGAGGAAAATGTTAAAGTAAGGGCTTGCCTGATCCTTCAGTGCTGAGTTAACCATGATGATTTGTTATCAGAAATTTCAATTGTTTTAACTCTCTTACTTCCACCCTTTTGCAGGACGAGCTGTAGGAAAGTACGTGCGAGTGCTGTGGTTGGCCCAACATGCTGTTGCGAAGAAGAGCTTTGTTGGCAATTGAGCTCTCGACATTTTTCATTTTTCTTTTGGCTTTTAGCTGTAGAATTGCTGTTTAGGGAAAAAAGATATTGGAGGCTCTGCATGGACTTGGTGTTGCGATACTTCTTTATTCTCATCTGGCTCAGCCATTAGAACCAAAAGAGAAACATGCCTGTTTTAGTTTTAGATTTATGAACAGCCTGGACTTGGAACATTAGCGGTGTTGAGATTGATTTATTTCGAATATTTCAGCATTAGTCTGACATGGATGATCTTGCATGTTTTGGAATTAAAGCCCCATTCCATCAATTTGTTAACTAAGCTGTAAAACTAAAACCCCTTCAACAACCATTGGCTATGCGGCAGCTTTGACCCTTTGAGATTTTGTTGCATTACCAGGAAGTCCCACCAAAACAAAGAAAAAAGTACATCCCCTATTGAAGATTTAGGTCCGTCAGCAACACGAAACAGCTCCACTAACTACAGCTGGGATGTAACCTGCACTTGGGAAACTCATGCCGGGATTTTACTTCAAAATTTCAGGTGGTTACGAAGTGAAACAAGACAATATTGAACCACCTAAATCAACATGAGCACAAACCTTTGTTCCAGTTTCATTGGAGTAGAAGTTTTTGAGTAGAAATGCCAGGACATATATACGCGTTTGTTCCTATTTCCTTTACTGGCAAAAGATTTTAAAGTAGAAATGCGAGGAATTACTAGTAGTGTATAAACGGTTTCTTCCTATTTCCTTTCCCTGTAAAAGGCGTAAAAGGGTTCATATCAGCTTCCAGCATAAACATTCCATTTTTCACCCAAAATCAAAGATGAACAAAGTCCGGGAAAACTGAGTAGTATCTCCAAGAACTTCCACTTTATTTTCAAGCGAAGACACAGAGAAGAAGACCAGAAAATGGTGTGTTTGGATTGCAGATTTTCAAAGAAAAATTGCTACGTTTTTTGGTGGGCACATTTTTTAATCACCTTTTTATCTCATATATATCAAATCGTTACAGTAATTTTTCTACAAAAAGTCCAAAAAAATACAATCCAAACAAATAAATAAATAAACCATTCAACAGTCAATGTTTGAATTTGCCCTCAATATCTCTAATGGCATCCATTAGTTTGTCTGCATCGAATGGCTTGCACAGATGAAAATCCATTCCAGCGTCAACAATCTTTCTGTGTTCTTCAGGCATAGCATGGGCTGTTAGTGCAAATATGGGAATATGGATGCCGTGAATTTTCTCTTCCTTCCTTATAAGTCTTGTTGCTTCATATCCATCCATTACTGGCATCTACCAACAAAAACAAGTTCCAAGCATGAGCATCAAAAAGCTTCATATAGCAGCACGAACTATACATTTGTGGTCACTATCACAAGAAAAACTGGGTCGATCAGTTTTCAAAGACAGCTTCAATGAACTATGAGGATGGAAAATATGTAGGGTTAAAAACAAAAAGGCCTCATATGGTATACCTAATACATAAAAAGCCCCATGTGGTTTCAAAATATATAAAATGACACCTCATGTTTTGAACTAAATTGTAAACTAATAGAATTTGTTAAAATTAAAGAAAATGGCGGTCTAGCTGTTAAATTTACCGGATTCCGTTAAATTTTTCGTTAAGTTTACCGGATTCTGTTAGTTTATAATTTAGTTCAAAACATGAGGTGTTGTTTTGTATGTTTTGAAATCATGGGAGCTTTTTTGTGTATTAGGTATACCACATAAGGTTTTTTTGTTTTTAACCCAAATATTTATGATGTTCAAATTTTTTTTCCTGAAAAAATGTGAGAGTTACAGCTTATCTCAAAACCCAAAAAAAAAAACCGAATTTGTGACAGAAAAAAAAAATGTCAAAAAATCAGAGTCAGTAGGATCTTGAGAGTACCTCACAATCCATTATTATGAAATCATATGGGAGAGTTTCCTGATTAATTTCCTTCTCATCGTTCAGGACCTTGTAGACTTTGTCGAAAGCCTCCTTCCCATTCTCACAGACTTCCACTCGAGCACCGAGTTTGGAAATCCTCGTGCTGGCTACTCTACGCAATACCTCGAGATCATCTACTACCAATACAGATTTTCCCTTGAGTGGGTTTGGAGAGCTTTGGTCAGCAGCTGGATCATGTATTACAATCTCCTGGAGTTCTTGTTTTTCGTCTGTTGAAATTCTGCCTTTTTGAAGCTCAGTATTGCTGGAGAATTTAACCAATCTATTTGAAGGTACAGTAATCTCAGAGGAGCCCTCATTTTCTTGAACTGCTTCAGCTTTAACGATCGACGACTCAGGTGGAAATGCACCATGAAATACAGGAAGAAGTCGTAGCACGCCATATAAACCTGATCCATGCAAGGGTTTCTTTAATATGTAGTCACAAGGAATTAGTGGCCTTTGCTCTTTCACGTCTCTTGAATTCCTTCTAGGAATAATTGGATTGTCCCAGTAAACAACCTTACACTGCAAATTTCGTGTTTCCTTCTTAAAGCTGGACAAAGCTGCACTTGCTTCCAAGGAAGGTCCAATAGCCGCATCAATCACGATCAGTATAAAATTTTGGACAGCTTTGGAGTTCAAGCTTTTTCTTTGGGGGAGATGAGCTTCATGTCCATCTGTAGCACCTGAATGCCCTTCATTCAATCCTGAATTAGAATTGCTGGACGCGGACAGGTAGTCAGGCGGACTAGATTCGGATTTCTCAAGCAGATTAAGCTGGAAATGGTCCATCTTTTCCTTTATCTTATATAGAATACGCCTTAGATCTTTATCTGTCTCTGCAACTGTTACTTTTATGCCAATATTCTCAATTGCTCTCTTGGAAATCTTTCTGCGCTCTTTACTTGCAAGTAAGAGCACGACATGAGATCCCTCCAACCTTGTATTGGGATAGCGAAAATGTAAATCAAAATAATGCAGAAGATCACTTGAAGAAACTCCATTTTGCATATGGTTTCCATCTTCATCCATGACAGTGGACACCGGATTGCACACTGTCAAAAAGACACTGAACCTAAAGCAGGTTCCTTTTTCTCCATTTTCTTTGTCAACGATTCTGATTTCTCCCCCCATTAAACGTACCTAAGCCATGAGCACTGTGTTATACTCAATAATTTCTAAGAATAAAGACAGCACAAGGATCATCCCATGACAATATTTTTATTTTTCTAATTTGATGATTCAGTTGCTGAAACAGCTACTAAACTAAATGATGAAGTAAAGACAGCCATGCAATTTCTTACCAAAGACTGAACGATGCCGAGTCCTAGACCCCATCCTTGTTGTCCAGCAGCAGCGACTGTAATCTGAACATAGTTTTCAAACACAAATTTTCGCCTCTCCTTTGGAATCCCACAGCCTGTGTCATCCACCTCAAACACGAATTCCATACAATTAGGAGTTTCATGAACTGTATGGATGTCATCAAGCGAATGTAGGCTTCCACCGTTCTTGTAACACAACCTTGAGAGACAATTTAATGTGCTTCTGCGGTTAGAAGCAATTATAGCATTCTCTTTACTTGTTTTCCTTGCTATACAGCGAACAACAACATGGCCTTCTGTCGTAAACTTTATAGCATTACTTAGCAAATTCTCTAGTATCTCTTTGAGCCTTCTTCTATCACCCCTGACATGGCGAAACTTTATAATTGAGAAATCACATTGGTCAAATATGACATCTATCCCTTTCTTAACGCCAACAGGATAGTACATATCAACAACGTCTTCAAGGACCTGTTCCAGGTTAAACTCTTCTTCTACAAGTTCTGTCTTACCAGCTTCAGTTTTACTTTTATCAAGAACTGTATTTAGTAGACCTACAACAATAACCAAAGGACAAAGAGAAATTATGATTGCATACATGTTGAAAGAAATTGAGAAAATGCATGTCCACATTTGAGAACCAATTATCTTGCAGGCTAGAGTGAAGTGAACCAGAAATTGAATGAGCACTCATCCAGCCCCAACATATTATCAATATTCACTTCAACTTCTCTAGACTTCTAACTTGATGAGTCCATTAGGAATTGAAAAATAGAATGGTTACCTAATAGATCGTGTACATATGTATCTAGCTGTGACAAGTTGGCTGCCAACTGAGAATTTGGGACGACATCTTCACGACAAAGCTGTATCAAGCAAGTTATAGCTGTTAAGGAAGCACGTAGATCGTGACTATATGTAGCAAAGGCATTCGTCTTGCTCATGCTTTTGCGCTCAGCTTGTTGAGTTGATTCCTTTTGTTTTATGAGTGCGTCGCACAAAACTATTTCTCTTCGTGCAGCTTTCAGGATCAAAAAAATGAAGAGGCAAAGCGAGACGACTGATCCCACAAGCGTAAGAACAAGAAGCATGATAGCTAGCATGCTGCTTTTATGGGCAGCAGCTTCATTTCCATCTTCCGGAAAAGCCAGTACATATACCTAAAATACAAATTAAGACACATTTGATTATCCAGTTGATTTAGTTCAACTTGTTACTAAAAGTAGTTGAAAGCAAAATGCATTTCCAATGTAGTAAAAAGTGTTTATGCTCCAATCAAGTATGCCAGGATGATAGACTGACGGTTAAGGACGACGAATCCCTATGATGGCCTGCAATCATGGATATAAAACTACTAAAAAAGATAGACATACTGAGTGTAAGGCTATTATATCATTCTGTTAAGCAGAGTAATTCATCCAGTTCTTTCGGACAATATTGGTTTTAGATAATCAGGGGACTGCCTATTAGATCTAATCAGAATTTGGTTTCTGGTAAAATGAAAAAAAATCTCACATGATTAATTCAGATAAGCATACTGCAGGATAATTGTATTTCATATATAAAGGTAAACAATATCAAGAATAAGCATTAGGGAGACATTTCAAATTCTGTAAAATTGCATGAATCTAAAAAGGGTAGACATCCTATTTTGTAACATGAAGCAAAACGTTCTTATTAGTCACTATTTATTCACTGTTGAACCAAAACTTGCATGAGCAATTAGAAGTCTGCAATTAGCATGAGCACTTGTATTCAAGGGCGTTACTTCGACTTCTTTTATCATTTTTAGCTATAGTTCTTTCCATGATCTAATCAGTCACGTATGCATCGATCATGTGACTGTGACTTTGCAATTCAAGAAAAAGTGGATGCAATAAATACGGTAAGATGCTTAAATACCCAATGGTGTTGTGAGCAATGTATGTGCTAACTTCATGCATAGTTGTTAGAATTAGTCAATTTCTAAAGATTCCTATAATATTTTCACGGATTTAGCATTATTAAGGACTTACTGAATCAATTCCTGCAATGTCAACAGTTGAACAATAAAATTTGTGCTTCTTTTCATTGATCTTCACATCCAAATGCTCTAGATCAGCATCATCCTCCAACTTGCAAGAAACATTACTGACTACATCTTCGTAAGCACCATTTTGTTTCTTCAACTTCAGTGAATATGTTCCGTTGTACACAAAAATTTGAGTATCAGCAAGCTCTTTCTCAAAAAGTACTTGGCCATCATTCGAAGCTAGGTGCAAGTGACTGCCATGAAAATCTAGATGAGAAAACTGATTTTTAACTTCATCTGCTGGAAAACCTATTGAAATGAGCCCCATTCCAACCATTGGAACATTGCTTTTGAAAAGGAGATCCTGATTCTTCCCCGTCTCTAGTGAAGGATATGGTAGTATCCCTCGTGGGCCGTCTAAAAATCTCGTTGAGTTAAATGCAATATTATAGTTAGACTCAACTGCTTCACCAAACAGCTTTCCAGTGTCACGGTTCACAGGCTGAGTATAAGATGTTGAAGGAGCTGAAGAGTTCGAGAAAAATGCAAATGTTTGCTCATCATTGCGGTAATAGGAGAACTCCCATCTGTCCAACCCCATGAATTCCACCTCTTTTACCCGCGGGATTGTTGTAAGTGCTTGAAATAGTGATGGCGCAATCTAAGCGAATTGAATGAAAAGAAAGAAACCTTTAAAAACTGAAACTAAGAAAATTGTATCAAATTTAAAAAAAAAAAAATTATTCTTGCTAACATTTGCTTGGATAATAGGAAATGTTAAGGCCGTTCCATTTAGTTTTGCACTGAGCACCGTAGCTAGATTCAAGGCAGAAGAATTCAACGGATGAAGCATGCTTGTGGCGTTTTCAACATCTCTAATAGTTTTGTTGCGAGCTTCATCTGCTTGCAAAACTATGATATGCTCAAATTGATTGATCTTCAAACAGACCTCCGTGACCATGTAACATGCTATTCCCTGGATTGAGATTTTCAGTCAAAACTAAACACAATTGTTTAGGCATCAGCCAAAAAAACAAAAAAGGAAAATGCTGCAGAAATTACCAGGAGGATTAGAAAGAAAAGAGGACGAGTAAAAATGCAACAACAGCGTCCCATCCTGTTAAAAGGTAGCCTCATTCTGTGAAAATGAAGTGATAAACCTCACCACTACGTAGGATGTCTGCCCATGGCTCTGCAGGATGGAGTTATTAGCTGAGTTAATGGCTCATGCTGTGACTAACATCCATAACACACTTCCTTTAGCTCATCATGTATGATGCATCAGAATTGAACAAATTTTGTTAATATAATCGCTGAAGCAGTTTATTGTCTTTGTTTCCTGACATTCCCCAGAATCTGCTATTGCTTAACTCCCACTAATACCTTCAACAATCTGAATTAATTTTTTGTTAATATTAGCTCTGTATAACAATACACAACAGTTTCATGCTTACAGAATCCGTATAATTTTACACATCCAAATTATGCAACCATTCACAATAACATCAACATTGAATTTACTGCTATTTTGACAATTCACGTAGGAGTCTTGTTTGCATGTACCATTATATACATGTCCAACCAAATGCGAATACTGAAAAGCACTAAAAAACCACCAAACTTATGCCCAAATCCAACATGCTAGAGGTTATGGATCTGGTCATTTATTTTCAGAAGGCAAGGGAAGCACAAGAACCACTATAATCAAGATGAAACTCCAAAATAAGTACTAATTCTTTTCTGGGATCCAATTGGAATCAATTTTTTTAACAGGATATCGCTTGCCAAAACCCAAAGAAGAAATAAAACTTTAAAACTGTGTTAAACCCTGTTTTATAAACGGTGTTTTGATGAACGTAGAGAAATCGAGAACTTTGGATGCTGAATATCCCACTTACCAAGCTACGAAATTTGAGAGAAGAAAGAAAGAGTTAAACAAAAACTTGAGAAGAAACAAAGAGCTAAAAGGAGAGAATAACACTACAGTAGAACAAACCAGTTGCGATAACTCATGCACAAAAAAAAAAAAAAATCTTCTGTTAATAAGATTCTTGGAGAGCAATCAGCAGGGAGAGATTTAAGGCTAATGCAATACAAAGTCATATGGGAAATTAACGTTTGATTAACGTTCTTGGGATATGATTAGGATAGAGATTGACGGATTTTGGACATGCTCATCATTTACGTAATCTGATTATTCTCCGATTAAAACTTCTTTATTTTGTGAAGAGATATTCATGGAAATATCTTGTGATAATAGAATCCTTGTTCTCAGCAACTATTTATGGAACGGAGAATCTGCCGTATCCAACTTAACAAGGAAAACAAGTTACTGACCAAAAAACTACCAATTTTCATTTTCCTTGTACTCCTTTTTATTCTCAACCTTATCCGGCTATTAGTAATTGTATGCAATCTTGTGTTCATACTTTTTTTAGTTCTGGGTAGTTTTGTTTTCTTTGTTTTTGGGTCAAAACTCCAGTTTACAAAAATAGCAACAGCTTCAAATCATCTGTTATGTCAATTTTAGGAGCACTTTAACAGTTTTAAGGAGACATGCGATGTCCACTCTCTTAAAATATAGAAGATAAGACAGCATATTAACAGCAAATACGTCCAACAATCATGCGTGAATGTTTAGTTCATTGATTGTATTACGCCCACCATCGTGGGATCTCTGTAAATCTTATCAGCAGAAGAAGAACAAAAGCTCAAATGTTCCTATATTGAATTGGGTTTGAGCTTATATTTAATGAACGATACTCCCTCTGTCCCACTTTGATAGTTTTGTTTCTTTTTTCACACAGTTTAAGAAAAAATAGTTAACTTTATTGGAAAAGTAAATTTAGATTGCTATTTTTCTAAAATACCCTTACATTAAATATGGTACAACTTTATAGGAACTTGAATTGATGGTAAAAAAAAATCAACTCTCATTAAATAGGGTAGGTTTATAGTAATAACTACTTACATTGAATAACGGTATTTTAGGAAAATTAAAATATAACTACATTCTTCAATTGGAAAGTGGACTATAATTTGGAACAGATGAAAAAGGAATACAGGACTATCAAAGTGGGACGGAGGGAGTATTACGTAATAGTATTTTTCTAACGGGTGTCTTGATACACTAGCATTCATCAAATTTATCTCATATATATATATATATATATATATATATAGGGTTAATTACATTTACCTCCCCTGAGCTTTGGCCAAACTACCAAACAAACCCTGAGGTTTGGCCAAATAACAGATACCCCCTTTTAAGTAACGTCTGTTAAATATTTCGGATGGAACTGGTGTAAAGACTAAATGCCCAATTGGTATCAACTGGACTAATATATTTTTTTTTCAATTCCATGAGGAAAGAATTTGACAATACCTAAATACCGTTTTCTACTTTTTAAGAAATCCATTTAATTCTTTTTAATTTTATATTAATCTTCTTCCTCATTAAATTTTAAAATATTTTAAAGTAGCTGGCCATGGAAGCGGCAATTCCCTGCCATAACTGCCACCTCCACCTCTGGCTATCACCACTGAATAGCGAAATCTTGCCAAAGTTATAGGATGAGTTCAATTTTCAGAGTGGATCATGATTTGAACCTCAAGTTTCGCAAAAATTGATTGAAAAGTTACCAAATAAGAGTAACCAGTTGTGGCCTTCTTCTCCACTGGCACCCAAATCCATCAGAATTCATGAACTTCACAGGAGAACGAACAAACCAGCCTATAGCTATAGAAGGAGACGTCAACGATTCCCTAATCAAAAGCCAAATACCAAAAAACCTCAAAACTCACTTCGTTAAAAATCCCTGAAAATTGAAAACCCATTTTCCTTTCAAACCACAAATTCCTAAACTAGAATTGTCATAGAGCGTATACCATAAAAAAATGACTCTAAACTAGAATTTGGACCTTGATTCGAAGCAAAACTTGTCATCCTGTACATCACTATTGCAGCAAAACAATGGAGTCATGGGAAAAATGAGCATGGAATAGGATCTTATCTCCCCATCTATTTTCCTGGAATCGCGAACCCATCACCAGGCAATCTCCAAATAGCTAGATGCTTTGTTCGAGTCACCTAATCACTAGTATCAGAGGTAATTCATGGAAGCGGAAGCCACGAGAGGATCCAATTGAGTAGAATATGCGTTCAAAGGCCATTTTGCAGTCCGGGTTGGGAAGACAGAGAGCTTTGTATTGGCAAATTTTTCAGGGGATTTTTTTTTTCTAGATTTTATTTCACTCCCTTCTTTTTTTCCTACCCATTTTTTCTTTTCGTTCCTTCTTTTTGACAATTTTTGGTTAATTTTCCCATTTTATTTTAACAATTGCGGTTTCAAAATACAAACATTAGAACAAAGTCTTTTTTTTTTCTCCCTTTAAGGTGCAGCAATTCTGTTAGTATACCATAGAGAAATGGAAAAAGAAAATGCTTTTTTATTATTTCGAAAAAAAAAAGAAGTTAAGAGTTTGTCTTGATAAATGGGCACCAGAAGGATATATTTATTTGGGTTAACACAATAGCTTTGTGCTGACATCAGCAGATTCTCTAACACCTTAAGACGTTAGGGAGGTTTTTGATAAACATCTGTTTATTGCAAGGGGTCAATTGTTATTTTGTCAAACCTCAAGGTTCAGTTGATAATTTCGCCAAACCTAAAGGGAGGTAAATGTAATTAACCCATATATATATATATATATATATATGTGTGTGTGTGTGCGCGCGCGCGTGCGTGTATATATGCAGCACATACTAACAATTATTTTTCTTATATTTATTTACTTTTTCTATTCAAACTTGTTTACCCTCTCTTATATTTATTTATTTTTTCTAATTAATTTTATATTTTAAAAAATATAACACTTTAAATACATCTTAACAAGTGCCATGTTAGACAGACAGCACATAATATGTGGTTTGGACGACATTACAAAGTAGAATTTGACTAAAGGATACTTATCATGAGCACACGTTTAAGAGAGACTAGAGATGTTACGTGCCCGTTTTGATTGTTATCTTCTAAAATTTTTGTAGAAAAATGTGTAATGATTTAATGCACATTAGATATAAAAGTGATTGCGAAATATGCTCACGAAAAATGTAAAAATTTTTGAAAAAAATGACAATCTTTTTGTTTTTTTTATATAAAATTAGATTTAACTAGAAAAAGTACCTATATACAGACATGCTATAGTTCACATGATAACATCAATTGGGGACTCAGTGTGTAAAGGAGAGAGGAATCAGTCAATGATGGAGTCAGGGGGGCCAAAGAGGGGCCATGGCCCCCCTATGTTTTGAAATTTTTAATTCATAATATGTAAATATATGTATAAGTCAAAGTTGGCCCCCCCCTAATTTTTATAATTTTAGTTTATATTATCCGAGTTATATATATATATATATATATATATATATCTGTGTATGTGCGTGTATGAATTAGCCACCTTTTGATTTAATTTTTTCTTCAAAAAAAAGTTATTTATTTTTTATTGTACTAATTATTTAACATTCAAAAAATTAAACATATAATTTGATGATCCATAGTAAATTGACCCAATTTGATGTATTATAATAAAAGACTCAATTCATAATTATCAATGGGTTAAAATAAAAATAATTACTTTAGTGGTCCATATACAAATATACACCTTAGCCTAATTGATAAAAAATTTAAAATTAGTGATCTATCCTCTTGTTGACTCATATACAAATATACAAATAATTACTTGAAGGTTTGGTGAAAACAAAAAATTGAGTGATATTTCCTGTTATTAGCAGATTGATTATATTTGTTCTCACTCTTTCTGTATCAACTACAACTATAGAACGTACATTTTCAATTGTGAATATAATCAAAACAAAACTCCAAAATAAGATAAAAGATAATTTCTTGAATGACTATCTAACAATGTACATAAAAAAAGGATGATCAAAATTTAGTACTGATTCAATTATAAATGAATTTAGTTCTATGAAAGAATGTAAAACTCAATTTACTTTTAAGAAAAGAGGTTGAAATTTTAAGGTATGCTAACATAACTTTTATCTTTTATTAATTGAAAATAGTTATATTATATTGTATAGTTATATTTTTATTTTTTCACAAATGACATATTGAAGCATCTTCTCATAATGTACAATTTGGGTAGTTTGTTTTGTTATAAGATATTTAATCAAAGGTTATTCTTTGTCCTAATTTTTGTTATGACTATACTGCATATTTATGAAATAGACATACCTTTATAATTAAAATTAATATTTGATATTTTAAGATATCATATATTTAAAAAAATAAAAATTAGTTTGAACATAACATATTAAAATAATTCTGTTCGAAAAAATATTGGCTCCTCCCCTCCAATGAAAAAATCCTGACTTCATCACTGGGAACCAGAAACAGTAGAACACACACTGCTACAATGTCCTCTAGCAAGAGAGATTTGGAAAGTAGTCCCAATAATATGGGATGGAGCCAAAGATCAACAAGGCAATTTCAAAAGATGGCGGAGCAGAATCACCAGTGCTAGGAAAAGACTAAATGGTAAAAGCCCATTGACTGCACTGCCAATATTCTATGGCAGATATGGAAGCAAAGAAACAAGAAGGAATTTGAGAACCAGACCAACCATCAACCATGCACCATGCAGAGTTATTCAGAAAGTACACAAAGAATGGCTGGAGCAGGAGGAAACATGTTCAAACAAAACCAGATTGAACAAAAAATGGCTATAGCATTTTTTATGATGTGTCGTATGTGAGATAAAAAATTGATTAGGAATACAAAAAAATGAATTGAAAAATGTATTTATCGTGCAAGCGAAATATTATTTGAAATAATAAATGGTATCCAAACAAACATATTGTTTTGAATGTGCTCCTTTTATATTTAGTTAGTAATGATAACAATAATATTGGTCCAAATGTTAGTTCATATGCTTTAGGCATTTTTTTTTTTTTGGATGAGATTATCGCTCGAATTGCAAAACTCTCTTTGGAAAATCAGCATCCTAACGTTTCAAAAAAAAAAAAAAAAAAGTACTGTAAGTTAAATGCACGAACACCCCTTACAAAAAATTAAAATTTACAAAGTAACATACATATGAACATGGATAGAACATAAATGCAGTAGAGCAGAGCAATTTACAGTTGGAGACCTTGTCAAACTTGAACGGCAACATAGTACATTAAGCTGCTTCCATTGTCAGAAGCTCTTGGAAAAATATTAAAAATAACTTGGGGAAAATGTTATACAAGTTAAACAGGAAAAACAACATAGAAGTTATTTGAGAAAAAAAGAAAAGAAAACTTGCTATACAAGGAGTAAAAGATCCACCAAAAGGACAGAAAGGAGATTTATCAACTAGTTTCCGTCATTGGATTTGGGCTTTTTCACTATCAGAACTGGACACTTCAGGTTCTGTGCACAGTGATGGCTCACACTGCCAAGAAATGCCCTGCCCCAATTCCCAAAAAACCAAAAAAAAAAAAAAAATTCAAAATCAACCAACCATTACAACAATAATGAAAAGAGATTGCAATAATAATAATCATCAACTAATATAATTAATTACAGGGATTTATTTAAAAGAGAAAAAAAAAAAAGAAAGAAGGGGGATTCCACCTCTTGATGAGCCCGTAGCCGTGACTTCCCATGACTACCAAGTCAACGTTTAATTTCTCTGCCACCTGACAAATGACGTCCCTAGGATCTCCATGCTCCACCTTAGTCTCCACTTTAATCTGTGCACCGCATCCACACCCAAACATCATAATTTACTCCTCCAAAAAAAAAAATGAATTTTGATTGTATAATTTGAAATGGATTTCTTTAGGAAGAGAGAGAGAAAAAAAAAAAAAAGAAAAGAATGGCATACGGCATTAAAGTCCTTGCATATTCGGTGGGCTTTCTCAAGAACGCATTCTGCAACTTCATGGCTATACTTCTCCATAGAGGCTAATATATCAGAAGAGAACAAATACCCTGCAAAAACAACCAAAATAGTAAGAAAAAAAAAAAACTTTGATCTCCCAAAATGCCCATATAAATAATTAGCTCAACCACAAAAAAAAAAAAAAAAAAAAGTCACCTGGGAGGCGGCCTTCCTCACCTGATCCATCAAGGGTAGAGTAAACAGCTCTAGGTGGCCTGGCATAGACGAGGACAAGGGTATCTTTGGAATTTTCATTGACAATGTTGGAGAGACACCATGACAAAGCATAGGAGCTCTCCTCCCCTTCATCCACTGCAACCAGAATCTTGCGTTCTTTCTCCGCCACTTCAGAAGCCATCAACCACAGATTTTTTTCTTCTTCTTTTTTCCTTTTTTTGGTGCGTAATTAAGCTCTGACTATGAAATATTTTATAGTGTGTGAGTGACTACTGCGTGTCCTGTGTGTGTGCGTCTGTGAGAGAGCCGCGTGGGCGGTGGCGGCGGTTTGATGGTTTTGAGCTTTTTGTAAGTTTAATAATAATGCTGTTGGCGGCTCGTGGGTTCTGGGACATGGAATGGACCAGGGTTTTTATTTTACTACTCAACTGTCAAAAAAGATATTAAAAGTAATTTTGTTTGATAAAATGATAAGTATTTTGCAACATCTCAAAATAAAAACATGGCATTTTAAAAAGGGAATATGATTTTAGAAACCTCCTCTAAGGTTTTTAATTGTTTCACTAGCCTCCCTTTAAGTTTTAAAAATTATACTACTAATATTCTTTGAGATTTATTATCTTGTAATTACTTAGGTGGATCTGATAAAATTGAAATTTGAATCTATTAAATTATTAAATTGTTAAATATTAAATATATTATATTTGGATGTATATTATATTTAGTGATAAATGAATAGTTTATCACTTAATTTTGGAAGTATTTTTTGTTTAGAAAATTCAGTGACACTTAATTAATCCAGATTTTTAATTATTTGTTATTAAATAATTTAAATATGTTAAGATCTGAATTTATTAAATTTAAATATTAAATTGGATTATCAAATACAATCTACGCCAACCAGCAAATAAAAAAGTAACATTAGAAAAGAGAAAAAAAATAACATGATTCTATTGTACTATTATCCTTCATCTATTATATTATTTAATTAATCTAATACTTGTTCGTATATTAAAAAAAAAATACTTACTAGATTTCTTAGAAGCACGAAACTTTCAAAAAGGGCACCTTTTCGGTAGGTGGGTTTAGTGGCAGTTATCTTGGAGAGACTTGGCCGTAGCGGCGGGGCCGTGTCTCACTTTTCTTTTTAGGACTCAGATGTGATTAACACGTGTGTCCGAGTAATCATGATTACAAAAAAAAAATTATTCATTAGCATCGCAAACATAATTTTCAATATATTTTTTCATCTTTTTAATTATCTTTTTATCTCATCTGCATCATATCAAAAACAAATATTACAGTAATTATTTTAAATAATTTCTTGTCCAAACCAAAATCCTGTTTGGCAAATAAGTTTTGTTGCTGAATTTGTCTGTTAGAAGTTTTTTAACAATTTTAATTATAGTAATTTTAAAAAAAATTTCAAAATTTTTAAATTATATATTTTAAAATATCCAAAAATTTATATATTTTAAAAATTTTCTTACAACTTTTACGATAAATTACAATAAAATTTTAAACAATTATCCAAAAAATTCTCAGTTGTCAACCGAGATGTTTCGGCTCCATGAACCACATGATGCTCCCAGGCTCTCACAATTTCTTTTGAGGAAAGTTCCACAGTTGCCAACGTAGGCGAGAATGTCAATAATGTACTTTTTCACTTCAAAATCTAATCCAAATTCAAAAGGAAAATTTGTCAAATTGGTCCCTGACATATGTTAAAAAAACTTTTTTAGTTTTTAACATTTAAATCAGTCAGAATTGTTCCTAATATTTAAATTTTGATTCATTTTGATCCTAATACTCGTATTTACTCATTTCTTCGACTGAAAATAGCATCTTCTTCACATTTTCTTGCTATTCTCTTCCTCCATTACACAGCCATCCAGTTGCAGCCACCTTTTTTCTCTTCAATTTCGTTCTTTCAGTGAGACGATTATGACACAAATGCGAAAATATGAAGGAAAGATGGCTTTACTCAACTGAAAATGAAGTGTATTTTTCGATTTTACCCTTAAAAATATATCCACGTGAGAGAGACGTGCTATTTTCAGTCGAAAAAATGAGCAAATATGAGCATTAGGACAAAAATAGATCATAATTTAAATGTTAGAGACAATTCTGACTGATTTTAAATGATAGGGACTACAAAAGTTTTTTTGACAAATGTTAGGGATCAATTTTGTAAATTTCCCAATCCAAAATGCTCATGTATTATGTATATCCAGATTCAGCATTGAATCTCTTGTTACCCTTTTTTTAGTACCCGCCAAAGTTTCCGTGCGGTTAATGACCTTAAATTAAGAGAAACATGTTACCCTGTAAACGTGGTGTATTCCAAAAGCCAGACTGATTCTTGTAATTATGCCCAAGAACCAGAACTTGTTATCTGTAATACGAAACAGGGCATATGAACCTTCCCTCTTCATAAAGATACAAAGTGAAAGATTTTCCATTTTGATTGCTATCTTCTGAATTTTTTTTAGAAAAATATATTATAACGATGTGATGTTTATAAACTGTAAAGTACTAAAAAAGTGATTAAAAAGTATATTTACAAAAAATATTAAATTTTTTAAAACAAAAAATGGCAATCCAAACGCATCTAATTTTTGGTGTCTCCCCTCGAACAAATCGTAAATGCTTAGTGTGCCATCTAATATTGCCTTGTACGCAGTGTACCAACGCCAATAACACATTACAAAGTAGTGTTGGAAAGTCACATATTGTCCCTCATAAGTATACAAATTCGTCCCACCATCATTACTTGATAATTAATTAATGATTGATACTAATACATCATGCGAGCGAGCAATGCACATAGAACGTGTAATACCTTTACATAAAAGCCTTAGAAAACTAGCTCAATAGGTGATCACAACAACGGTCATGCTATCAATGACTTTGTTTGGGAGGTAATGTTATGTACGTGTAAAAGTTGAATTTTAAATTTAAATTTTACATAATTGTAATTTATGCAACGCTGCCAACAGTATATACACTATTAGTATAAGAAAGATTAATTCTTTATTCGGGGTTAATTATTTGTAGAAAATTTATTTGCTTGCGTCATTAACGCATTTTTAAATCATCTGTTTATCTTATGTCAAATGAGTATTACAACTTTTTAAAAAAAAAAAAAACTATTCTAATTAATTTACTGTCCAAACACACTCCACCACTGCTACAAAAAAGTTTTTTTTTTTTTTTTGTTGAGGATTTAACTCATGTGCTCTTGTTTTTAGATTGTTTGCTTGGCTAATCAGCTAAAAAACTTGACACAAATCTTCAAGGCTTTTAGGTAAACAAAAGTGATGTCAATAATACCTAAGAAGGATGTTATGAGATGTAGCACAAACCATTTCCAAGGAAATTATGTCAAATATAAAGAAATGCAACAAAAGCAAGATAAACCATTTACATATAAGAGAACTTAGAAATATAAACACTCATATGAAATTTAGGTAATCCGAATTCTCAAACTTTGGAAGTTTAATATTTCTTTAAAAAATAATTATATGCATTTATTCACTTATAAAACACACTTATAGCACTTAAATACATCTTTCTATGCAAATTCAAATGTACTAGTTCTTTCTTTAATTAAGCAATTACATATAATGAGTTCTAAATTTGTCTTTGTTACCTATAATATATTCAAAACCAAAATGATTCAACACCATTATATCAAAAATAAAAAATAAATGTGACACCTATTTCCTCTCTTTTTTATTCTCAAGAAATAATAGGTAATAAAAAAAAGGGCAAAAAAAAAAAAGCAATTAAAGAAAAAGAAGAAACTATTAAAATAAAAGAGAAAGGAACAAGAAAATTAAAAAACGAGCGCTAAACGACTATGTAAGAGGTTGGTTCATCAAACGCCGCTTTGTTAACTCCGCCACCTCCAACGGACTTCTCGAAGCCTTCCCTCCTCTTCCTCTATATCACTCCCCCGGCGGCCCCACTTCCGCTCCCAAACAATCTCCATTAATTCATCCTCTACTGCGTGAGTGTGTGTTTTTGAACCTCGAGTCCTCGAAACCTTTAAAAAATGCAATCAGCAATGACAATGTCCCTGGCCTCGCCTTCCCTGACAATTGCCCCAAGATCCGACTGCTCTTCTTCCACTTTTCTCACGTCACGATCGCTCCGGTTCTGCGGGCTCAAGAGAGAGGCGATTTTCGGACTGAATTCTTCGCATTCAGCTGCGGCGAGATTAGTTTCCTCCTCCTCGGCTGCTGTATTTTCTTCTTCATCCTCAAAGCAGCGTTTGAATTTGAAGGTTTCGGCTTCGGTGAGTAATGATAATGGAACTCCGTCGAAAGAGGGTTTTGATTATGATCTCGTAATTATTGGCGCTGGTGTTGGTGGTCATGGCGCTGCACTTCATGCTGTAGAGAAGGTAACAATGCCACTCTGATCATTAAACTTCAGCTGTGTGTACTGTTTCTGTCAGAAGCTTCAGATATTAATGTTATGCTAATTTGAACTAATTCTTAAAGTATTAGTTACGTCCAATTTGATATTCTCTTAGTTGGCAAGTGTTACCTGGTGATTTAGTTGTAAACGGGATTTTTATTACTTTAGCTGATCTTTACTGTTTGTTTTAATTTTTTTTTTTCTGTTTGGATTATTACAACCACATGTACCTTACAGATGTTGATTTGTGTATTCTTGGGGGATTAAATTTGAGGGATTTTCTTTTTATGTCCTTTGTCAAAAGAGACAAAAGAAAGTGATGAAAGAAGCTGGTGGCTAACATCAAGCAGGCATTTTGTTTGACTGCTTATTCACCATATAAATGCATCTTGTGATACCTTTATCAAATTCTTGAATTTAGTGAAAGTGATTAACTGACAAATGTTTTGTTTTCAGGGTTTAAAAACTGCCATCATTGAAGGAGATGTAGTAGGAGGAACATGTGTAAATAGGGGTTGTGTGCCTTCCAAAGCCCTCCTAGCTGTTAGTGGTCGTATGCGGGAGCTTCAGAATGAGCATCACATGAAGGCTTTTGGTTTACAGGTAGGCATTTTTGGTCTTGTTCTTTTTGCTGAGAAACCAAAGTTTAGTCTCTTGAATGTTTCAATAACTGTTTTTGGGCCAGCTGTAAATTCAGCATCAAGTTCATGAAATGGTTGAACTTCTTGTATTGGCACAAGTTACTGTCCAGTGTCATATTTCTTATAAAATCGCCGAAGCTTGCATTGCAACCCTGAAATGCTCTTATTTCTGTTTTCCCTGTTTTCGACAGCTTGCTCACTTTTTTAACCTCATATGATAGGTTGCAGCTGCTGGATATGACAGACAAGGAGT